TTCCTGCTTATGCAGGGGGTCGGACTCGATGACCTATTGAGGTCCCTTCCGACCCTAACATCTATGAATCTATGAAACTTCTAGCCTAACAGTTAGGCCATTCTGTAACGGAATAGAGTATATCAATCAAATCGCCACAGGCAATGCACAGATTAGAATTTGGGGTCCCATAGCATATGTGAGGGTTCTAACTTCTAGGTAATGGATAAAAAGAATGGAGGGAAACCCAACCTGTTTCCATGCTCCTCATTTTGTGAATATAGACTGTAAAACTTCTTAACTAAGTTAATTGCTGAAAATGGCTCCAAAATTTTAGATAATTTTCACTGAATTTGAATAATATTTTTGGTAAATACTTTATAGGCTAGGAAAAAAGTCTTAGTCCCCATAATTAACCCCTCAAATTTTAACTAATATACCTGACAAATTCCATTTGTAGTCTAGGTGAATTTATCCTCTGTTTATCTCATAAAGTTAGGCTTTATTTTCTGTACAAATTCCATTTGTAGTCTAGGTGAATATATCCTCTGTTTATCTCGGAAAGTTAGACTTTATTTTCTGTACAAAACCTAAAATTGATCCATCCAATTGGAAATGAGACTTCAGAAGCTGAAGGCGGTATAAATCATTGAAAATTTAGGGATAAGCATTTAAAACATTTCAGTGTCTGTCTGATTCTGCTATTCTACATTATAAGTACCCATAAGACTGCACAGCTAATCAAAGACTATCAAAAAGCCACTGCTCATACTTCATATGCAAAGGTCTCTACATCCTTTATTTTCTAGACACTGAGGACAGAACAAGCAATAATTACACAAAGAAGTGACAGAGAGTTTCACATTTTGTGCATCTCTACAGTCAATCACTTTGCAGCTGTGCTGCATCCTTACTCCTCCCCTTCAATCTTCTTATGAACCTCCCGGGTCTTCACCCGAAGTTTGTTGACCTGGGACTCTGCAATGTCAGCCCGTTCCTCAGCCTCTTCCAGCTCATGCTGGATCTTGCGGAACTTGGAGAGGTTGACGTTGGATAGCTCCTCCTGTGGATGGACAGAGAGAGTTGTGAAAACCAAAGTTGTGGCAGGGCCAACTTGGACTTGTGGGGCTGTGACTGCTGAGGGGAAAGGGAAAGTCCTCATTGTCTGACTCCCGAGTATCATTTGTTACGTGAATGCTAAACACAGAGCTTCTTGCTCTCACCAGTTTCTAATCTGGAAAGTTAATTTAAAGGTAACAGAAAACAGCTGTACACATTTAGGGTTCCCTTTGCTTCAGCTGGGAAGTGTGCTGTTAACCTCGTGAGACAAGGATCTTTGTGGGTGACATCTGGTATTGGACTAACTGTATGGCTAGGAGAGATTCAGACAAGGTTGAAGGTGCAAAAAACCCTTCTTCAGAACTTCTGCTCCAGCAGAAGGTGAGTTTGTCCAAACACAAAGTGACACTTACAGCCTCCTCAGATTGTCTCTTGTAAGACTTCACTTTCATCTGAAGTTTGTCAACTAGATCCTGGAGCCTGAGCACATTCTTCCGGTCCTCCTCAGACTAGAAAGAATATGTTTTGGGACAGAGTTAGTTCATTTGTCCATTACCTGCCTGCTTCTTTCCCAATGAACAGTGAAAGGAACATCCATAATAAAATATAAGCATAAAACCTGGATGTAATCAACTCAACATTTCTAACATTGTCTTTCAAACACCTTCCTGGTACACTTGTTTTCCCATGGACTTACTGCTGATTGCTTTACTGTCTGAGAATGACAATAAAATCCCACTATTGCAGGTCCACTTGCAAACAGTCTGATCTGATGGGAGAAAAATATGTTAGCAAAGACTCCTTCCTTACCTGGTAGGTCAGTTCCTTTACTCTCCTCTCATATTTGCGTACACCCTTAATAGCGTCAGCACCACGTTTCTGTTCATTCTCAACCTCTGCTTCCAGCTCACGTACCTGCAATGAGAAAATGCCTCATTAGCACTTCACCTATGACCAAACACTGGAAATGCTTACATATGCACAACATTTCGGAGTACATACTCTGGCCTCCAGTTTCTGGAGTTGCTTCTTGCCACCCTTCAGAGCCAGCTGCTCAGCCTCATCCAGACGGTGCTGCAGGTCCTTCACTGTCTGCTCAAGGTTCTTCTTCATCCTCTCCAGGTGGGCACTTGTGTCCTGCTCCTTCTTCAGCTCCTCAGCCATCATGGCTGCCTAGTGAGCAAGGAAACAAAACCAATCCAAAGAACCATGCATTGCAGGTGGAAACAGAGCCCTGATCTTTAAGGATAGATATCTCTAACTCACATCGGTGATTGCCTTCTTGGCCTTCTCTTCTGCATTGCGTGCTTCCTGGATTGTCTCTTCCACTTCACTCTGTATTTGTGAAATGTCTGTTTCCAGCTTCTTCTTAGTGTTGATCAAGCTTGTGTTCTGTTTGACAAAAATAAAATGGTGTCTTTTACTGTCAGACAAGAATACCAAATCTAGCTGACGAAGTGAATATTAATCTTTAATTTAGAGATTTTCAGTAACATTTTAGAATGCAGCATTCTCCTCTAAATGAACTGTCACTGTGGAACATTGACACCTAGTCAGTCATTTGCTGTACAGACTCTGAGAAATAATTTCTAGAAACATTTCCGAAGTCTCTGACAAACCCCCAAAACCTTTGCTATAGCCAGGTCTCCACCAAAGTATCTTGGTTGAACTATGGTTATTTACATTACCATTGGAAAATTCAGCACAACCTTTAAGGTGCCTATACATGTGCTTGGATGTGGAGGAGGGTTCATTTTAATTAAAGTGGTTCTTGGAGAGCCACTCTAAGACACAGCAGCATTATATGTATTATTCCTCTGCGCATTTAAAAATACCCACAGGACAGTTTAACTAAAGCTCATTTGAGCTTTAGTTAAAGCACCCTAGTGGCCATTTTTAAATCTGCAGGGGCTTATACACGTGACATGCGGCGATACTAGAGTGTTCTAATTAGAATGTATTGGATCACATATATAGGCACCCTTAGTTACCTTATTTACTCTTCTTGCAGAAAAAGAAGCATACTGTAGTTTCTCTGGTACTTTTTAATAGTTAGGCAAACAATGTGTAGGTGTTTCCTCTTTCCAAAGAGGCACTTCACTGACAAAAACCAGACTTTAATGATACAGTTGTTACTAAGTGCTCTCTTCCTCAATTGAGTATAAAATATTTTTATCATTGGCACAGGAAGGAAGGTTGGGGTAGTCTTCTTGTTTTGTCCCTATAGTAGGATTCAGGGGAGCTGCATTTAATTTCTTGTTCTGGAAGGCAATTTTTGTGCAACCTTGAAAAATTCATCTAGTCCTTGTATCTCATTTCCCACCCTGTCGCTATGTTGTCTTCTTTTACTGTATTAAATTCTCTGTCTGCACGATGCCTGGGAGAATGGGACCCTGACTTACTTTGTGGCTTCTAGATGTAAATAT